AAGATGAAAACAGTGGTGAACAGACTCCTGCATTTGTGTTGTAGATACGTACATTCATCAGGCTAACTGAACTCTAACCTTTAGGTGACATTTACCTATATTTGGATATATACTTTGTTTTTAACATTCATTCATTTACCTACCATTAAGCTGCATCCTTGTTTTATTACTAATTTAACTTGACTAACTCTTTCTAACCAGTTCACCATAATTTAATTATTTTATTTCAACTACATTACTGCCCAAATTTCTGGCCTCCTTTTTAAGTATTTTTGGTTTATTAAACTATTTTTTCATACTATTATAGCACAATTTAGCAAAATGTGTATTTAGTTAGTTGTTTGTTAGATTAGAACATTTTTGGCCATTTTTTGTCATTTGTACAGTTGGTCCATGAGTAAGACCGTGGTTTTTGGACCATAAATAGTTGTTTTCATTCAGAACGTCTAAAAACAAAGACAGAAGAAGACGGAGATAAAAAACAAGCCAAGTATTCGTGTCTGTGACATCACACCAGGGAAGTGTGTGTTTGTTTGACCTGCGGCTGTGTTTTTTCTGTCCACTGAGTTTGGGTCCAGCTCGTCGTGGCTCAGGAAACCCTGGATACGCTTCAGTGACACGCTGGCCTGAGCGACAGGAACAGAAGAGAAACAACACTCAACAGGAGCTTCTGGACAAACTCGGGGAGGAGGGGGGAGGAGGGAGGGTTTGGAAGAGGAAGGAGGAAAGAGAGGCCTACCTGCACCATGCCGCTGATAACCTGGGGAAGCATGTTGAGAGGAAATCTGAGGATGTTGAAGAGTGACAGGGACACGAAGGCCTTCTCTGCGTCCAGGACGTTGTTCTTGTCCACAGCCACATACACAGCAAATGTTGTCAAGGCAACCTGACAACCAACCAGAAGAATCTCTTAGAAACAGGCTAACAACAGTTGGTGTTTATTTTTTGGTCTATTTTCAAAATAAATCAAACGGCTTGTTTCCATTCGGCAGAGTTGAGGGTTTGGATCTACGCACTAGGAATGGTGCGCTGGTCCAGGCCATGGTGGACAGCGCTCCCAGGTAGGCCATCTTCCTCAGAGTGACAAGCTCCTTCTGTCTGATGGCCATGACCTTGTCTTTGAAGGAGTTCTCCCAGGCGTAGAGCTTCAGGACCTTGATGCCGTTCAGGATCTCGTTCATCAGCTTGATCCGGGTGTCTTTGTACTGCATCTGCTCCACCTGGGGGATGAGATGATGATAACAGCCTGATGGAGGACAAATGGACCTTCATATGCCAGACCTCAGGATTTACTCTGCATACCTGGTAGGATCTGGTCTTCGTGGCAATGAAAGCGTTAAAAGGAATCAGCAGGATCATGACGGCGACGCCAGCCAGAACGGACGGACCAAGGTTCTGGTCAAAGAGGCAGGAACAGAAAAAAAAAATGTTCAAGAAACTAAGGTGAAACTGAGGTCAAACTGAGTCAAAGTCAATCTAGACAAATGTGAGGTTCGATTAAGTCGTGTCAATCTCCAAGTCTGCAAAGTTTTGAAATTGAAATTTTGGAGATTACATTAAAATTTTGTCTCATGGTAGAACTGAGTCACGTGAGCTGTGTACGAACCTGCCACAGGAAATAAAGTGCCAGCATGATCTGCAGAGGAGCGGACCACAGCATGTTGAGGAAGGTGGTGAGATCCATGAACCTCTGAGCGTCCACTGACATCAGGTTGACCACCTCACCCACAGTGCTGGACCGTTTGGCAGAGTTGGTGATCACCAGAGCCTGCAGGGAAAAAAACAACAACAAGCTTTTCTGATGCAACTGTTGTTACTTGAAATGTTGAACTTCAAATGGTTCCTGCTGCACTACCTTTCTGTAGATGGCGCCAATGATGGCAGTTCGGACATTCATGCCGGTGACGAAGCAGTACTGGAAGTGACGGTGGAGGATGAGGGTCTGCAATAAGGCAGTGAAGAACATGAGGAAGGCCAGAGAGTAGCCCCACCAATCAGGAACGTCCTTCTGTTTGGTGAAGGAGATCAACATTCTGGAGGAACCAGGAGAAAGAACCATCAGAACAAACAGTAATGATGACCGAGTGAAGACAGAACTCAGGGATTTGTTGAGAATTTAGAACAAAAGTCCTGATGTGTCATTTAGGAGGAAGTGAAAAGGTCACGAGGAGTCAGACTGCAGCAGTGGGAACTGTCACCGTTTGAGGAAGGAAGAGTTTTCCATGAGCAGTGACAGGATTGAAGAGGAAACTTATTTACATGTTGTACCATTTTCATGTACATTTACATAAATACAGTCAACATAACCAAAACAGAATATTTAAAATAGTGGACATGCAAACGTGTTCCTGGGAAAACCAACAGTTGACATTGTGTGTCTTTTACCTGAGCAGCTGAGGGTTGATGAAGGCGATGATGTCCTGCAGGAACTTGAAGGCGGAGCCAATCAGAAAGTAGGGTCCAAAGGCTTTGATGAGGGCGCGTAGGAAGGAGGGCTGATGAGGAGACTTTTTCTGATTGGACAACAGCACTTCCACTTCATCTGGGCTGCTGTCGGCCCCGCCACCTCCTGCCACATGGTTGGTGGTGGAGGGCGGGGGCTTGTTGTAGGCCGCCACAGTCGACACATTCTCCTCACTGTGGGACAGAGGATTTTATTATGAATTACAGCAGCAATAATCAGAAAGAACCAGTGGGAAAACTCCACTGTGAACCTGACGGTCAGTGAACGCACCTCCGTCAGAAGACAGATTTATGGCTGCAGTTTACGACTGGTGTAAATCCCGATGATTTATCTGAATGATATTGGATATTGGAGATAAAGGCAGGATTTGAAGACCTATTAAAACACGCTGACTTCTCAGAAATGGTTTCTTTCAAAAATCCCTTGAAATGCATTTAACCCCATTAAAACAGATTAGTAAATTCACATAAATCCATCACTGCACATATTACTGTACAATCACATTTATCACATTCCTGAAACTGGGCTGCACTTTTACTCCTTGGGGTTTCTTTTTTCAGTGTTAGTGCAACACACCAAAGCCCTGCCGCCAGTTGCGATTAGAACCAGCCATCCTCTGATCACTAGCCTGATGTTTTAGTAGTTAAAGGTTATGATATCAAACGTATGTAAGGATGAAAGGCCAGAGATGTTAAAGGCTGCTCAAAGGTGGTGGGAAAGGAACTGCACCTAAACTGCAGTGGCCGAAAATAGTATCAAATCTTATTCCTAAAGTTGAACTTCTTTCAGTTCGAGTCATCGTTACCTGATCTACTGAAAAACAGTGAGTTCTATTTGTAAAGTGACTGTTCACAGATCAGTCACCAGACCAAGGTGTTTTCACTCTGACTGTTTGAAGTCATTCTGCTTCAACCATCGCACGGCTGCTGAGCAGGGATTTCAACCATAAACCTGACCACGAAAATTCAAAGGTTAAAACATTCAAATTCAAACTAAAAAGAAAAGTACTAAAGGAAAATAAATAATAAAGTATATTAAATTTAGAACTTTAACTCAAAATATATAGAATGAAAAATATGTTAAAAAATATTTTTTGAGATTTAATACACATATTAAAAGTCTCCATCGTACCTTCTGGGGTCTGCATGCCCCAGGTTTGAAATATCTTGGTCAGAACATACAGGTTGTGGTATGAACTGTTTGTTTGATATGATTGTGAAGGACATTTCTTCACTGACTTTTTGTGATCCTTTTGTTAAAGGTCAACTGTCTCAGATTTCATATGAAAAAAAAACATCAATCTTCCAGTTGAACTTCAACCAAAGCCACACGTGTTAATCTTGTGGACAGACACAGGCAGCCCGCTGAGCTAAAATCCTTTCCTTCTTTGACAAGGAAGTGAAAACAATGGCAGGATTTTATACTTGTATTTTCTGACAAAACAACTTAAAATCTCCAAAACATTCAACAGTTTTTCTCTGCACATGGAAACATTTAATAAAACATTAATAAAAACGGGTTCTAGCCTGACTATTTCATTGAAGGTGAATTCCCTTTTAAAGGATTAATAAGAAAGGAAACAATATACTGATATGTTTTTTTAAATTGCAACAACTTCAAACAACTGTTGCAGAAACCTCAGGAAGCAAGGATTCGGATTTCAGTCTCGACTTCTACTGCAGACTGTTGAAAACAGAGTTGGTGACAAATCTTCAGTGGCTGCAGAATTAGAATTCATGTCAGAACGACGCAGTAATGAAGCAGAACATTAGGGAGAATAAAGTGGATTAGCCAGCAGCTGCTGAGCTGCAGCCTTTCTCCAGTTTCCAGCTTTAACCTGATTTACCCCAGAACCTGCTGTTACCTCCGGGCCTTGGTCTGCTCCTTCTCCCACTCTCTGAGGAGTTTGGGGACCATCGTACTGGAGCTGTCACGTTGGTTCAAGGACCACAGGTCTTTGGCCTCCAGAGGAACCTTGTAGCCTTTGATGGCCATGCTGAGGAGGGGAACCAGACCATAGGGTATAAGTCCACTGATCAACACTGATGACATCTGAACATGCACTCACAGGATTTAATATGATTTAGAACAGAATGTAATAACTGGACACTCAGAGGAGCTTCCTGGGCTTTTCCCATCATTCTCCTCATGGCAGCGGATCAGATTCCACCAGACATTAGACCAGGATGCAGATATTGGTTTACAAAGGGAAACAAACTGAAGATGCTATGACATCGAGCTCCTTTATGTTCAGTATTCCCGTGGTCAGACTCATGAAAAGAGGAGTGTTAGGACTTAAGACTGAACATTGAAGTGTGGTCCCGACCCACCTGGTGAACCACCAGAATGTGATGGTGGAGAGGAAACCGGCCGTGGTTTCAGGGCAGGGATTCTGAGGAGAGGGAATGAAAACAAAAGTTCTTACTCCTCCTCGGCTCCTTCGGTGTGACTGGGCACACACACATATATACACACACAAACACACACACACACACACACACACTCACTGGGTCTGTGACCACGCTGGAGAAGAGAGGAGGCTTCTCATTGAAGCAGCAGAGGATGAGCTCACACACCACCAGGCCGAAGTAGAAGTAAAAGGTGGTGAAGCGGAGTTTGTCTGTCACTACGCTCTGGAAAACACAACACATATATATTCAAAAGGTTATTCTAGACGTTACACAAAAAAACATCAGGTCGACTTTAGCTGAGTGCAGGCCAAGGAATACTGTAGCATGAGGCTAGAAGAACAAATCACCCTGACACTAGTTTAACTGGCGTACTACCTG